AAGCCATAAAGAGTTTTATAGGTCAAAGCCAGCATTTTAAATTGTACCTGGAAGCTGACTAAAGGCAATAAAGGGCCTGAACCCAGGTGATGCTTCCAACAACAGATGGAAGGTAGCATATGAGCTGCTGTATTCTGAACTAGTTTTAGCTTTAAAGTAGTCTTTAAAGGCAGTCCCACGTAGAGTGTGTTCCAATGATTAAACTGAAGTGGGGGTAGAAGTTTTTATTCTAGGTTCTTTTTGCTCCGGGAAGGCGGCAAAGGCTGCCCCAAAAACCCCCCCCCCCCCGGCCACATCCTCTACCTGCTGTTCTACCAGAAGCCACGAGTGCAAAAGGATCCTCAAGTTCCAGTCCTGCTTCTTCATGGATAATGCTTTCCTGCCAGGAAACAACTCTAGGGCCTACAGAGAGCCTCACTAGTCAAATAGTACTTGTCTTGCTTGGATTCAGCTTCAGCTTACTCTGTCCATCCAGACCCTGGCAGCCTCCAGGCTCCAGGATAACATCAACAGCATCTTAGGTAAAGCCTGGGGTAGCAGTGTCTAGTTGAGTATCCTCAGCATATTGATGATACCATATCCCAAACTGTCAGATGGCCAGTGGCTTTATGTAGATATTAAAATGTAGGGGGAGAGGACTGAACCTTGTGGCACCCCATGATAGAGAGGCCACTGAGCTGATCTCTCTAATCCTAAAAGCGTTGACTGGAACTTCTCACTAAGAGATGTGTGGAACCACTGTAAAAAGTGCCTCCAATCCCCAGCCCCTGTTGGGGGTCTAGAACAATACTATGGTCAATAGTACTGAAGGCCACTGAGAGATATAAATAGGTGCAATGTCCCCATCCTTGGCCTGACATTAGTCATCCACCAGAGCAATCGATACTGTCTCCATCCCGTACCCAGATCTGAATCCCAGCTGAAAAGGATCAAGATAATCCATATCCTTTTCATGGCTTCTCCCCTGCCAGATGAGTATTGAGCATGGGGGATGGCTAAAATAATTATACTGAGAAATTGGAAAACTGTTATTATTCCAAAGGTTAAGGAACGGTTGTTGTAAATGTGTGATCAATCTGTTTTGAAAAAGGCAATATTTTCTACTAATCAAAGGACACAGCAATATGTGTTACTATGGCAGAGATTTTGTGATATTTTACAATAATATTTCGTGTTGGTTACATTGTACTAGTGTATTTATTAGTAAACCAATGTCAGTTGATAAGTATAATATATAAAATAGATCCTCCTCCCCCCCTTTTTTCTTTTTCTTAGTTTGTTTGGGGTTAGATTTTTTTTCTAATTTTCTTTTCTTTTGGTTTTCTATTGTTCTTTTTTTTTTACGTTTAAATATTGTTTTGTTAATTGTATATGTTAGGAATGTACATTAAAAAAAAAAAGATGATCTCCTTCTTCTAATGTATTCCCCTTCTCCTATCTCAGCAACATTCCCTAAAAAAAGGAATGCTGGAGACCAGGCAATAATTATCTAAAACCAGAATGCAGTTTTTGCATTCACCATCATTGTCCTTCTCTTTCTGTAGGGGACAAAATAATGGCATTCTTCTTTAAACACACACATTAAACAATTGCACAGTCACCCTATAAGTAAACCACATCCATGTTTTTCCAGTTACACTTGCAGCCATTCTATTTTTCAACGATTTTACATCATTTATGACTTCCTTTTCATCATTTTTTCTTGGACATTTATATTTATAAATGTATCACTATCTTTTCCATTGCAGACATCTCAAATTCTCCTTCCAGCATTCCCTCATGTCTGCTTCATCCCAAATAATGTCATCACTTTTATTTTTTAATTCATTCACTCTGCTGGAGACTCCTTGTTTAGCCTTCTTTACTCACTCCCAATACATTTCCTATGTCTATCAAAATCCTTCATTTTCTCTGCATCCTTTAACTGTTCCTTGCTCTCTTTGATCACATTCTTTCAGCTGACTTTTTTTCTAAATATACATTTTTCTTTTTTTTAATATAAATTTTATTATGTTTTCCAAAAAAAGTTAAAATACAGAAAAATCAAGAAAAAAGGAAGGGAAAGAAAGGGGAAAAGAAAAAAGAGGGGAGGGAAGAAGAGGGAGCATAAGAAAAAAAGAGTAGCTTCTGACTTTCCTTGGTACAGGTATAGATAGAGAATATATTCACCTCTTACTCTAATATCTAAAAATTTACATAGTAAAAAATAGTTTTTAATGTAATATTCAGAAAGATTCCTAAAAGTTAATCTGTTTGGATAATGCATATGATTTGTACAAGATATTTCATCAATCAGCAAATCCCAAAATCAAAGTTGCATTTTTTTGAGTATCAAGCAAAAAGTCTAAGAGTGGTTTCCAATTAGAGATAAAGTTAAACAGTGCCCTGTCTTTGAGCAAAGCAGAGTTTTGCTATCTCAGCCAATTCCATTAGTTTCAATATCCATTCTTCAGCAGTAGATATTTGTATACCCTTCCATTTTTGTGCATATAGGAGTCTTGCCACAGTTATCATATAAAGAAATAAATTTCCGTGTTGTCTTTCCATTTGTTTATCCATGAAATAAATTTCCGTGTTGTCTTTCCATTTGTTTATCCATGAAATAAATTTCCGTGTTGTCTTTCCATTTGTTTATCCATCATACCTAAAAGAAAAGTCTCTGCAAATCTATTTTCAAAATCTTTTGAGTCAAAGTACATATCATATTCCAATACTTCTTAGTCTTTTCACAAGTTACCGTAAGTGATAGAATGTACCTTGACATTGATTACATTTCCAGCAGACATTTGAGATTCCTTTATACATCTTTGACAATTTATCTGGTATCAAATACCAATGGTACATCATTTCATAGAAATTTTCTTTTAACATATAATTAAGAGTAAACTTTAACCCTTTATTCCACATATTTCCCCACTGATCCAACATTATCTTATATCCAAAGTTTTTTTTGCCCATTTAACCATACAATATTCATCTTCCAAATTCATCTTTAACAAAAGTTTATACATTTTAGCAATAAGGTGTTCATCATTAGTACACAAAGCATATTCAAACTCAGTTTTCTCAGTGGTAAAGTCATAGCTTTTCTTAATTAGTTTAACTCTTTCCAGCAACTGTGTGTATGAAAACCATTGGTAAACAAAACATTCCAATTCTAATTCTTCTCTCTTCTTCAGGTTAGGTGCTCCTTCAGAAAACGATAACAGAATTGCATACGTCAACCATGGTTGCTTAACCATAATTTCTCTTCTATAAAAAGCTTCTTGAGGTCACAACCATAGAGGAATTTTTGGAGATAATTTTACCTCTTATCTATTCCAGATTCTCAGTATAGAACGTCTGATAAAGTGATTCTTAAAATCAATGTTAGCTTTCACTTTGTCATACCGTAAGTATCCATGCCATCCAAATTTTAACTCTTGTTCTTCTAATTCCAATAACCTCTTATTTTGTAAAGTCATCTATTCTTTCATCCATACCAGACAACAAGCACCAAAATATAACTTTAAATCTGGAAGACCTAACCCACCTCTTTCTTTGGCATCCTGTAAAAGTTCATATTTTATTCTTGGTTTTTTACTTTGCCACACAAATTTAGAAATATCTTTCTGCCATTTTTTAAATGGTACATCATTTGTCAATATCAGCATTGTCTGAAAGAGAAAAAACATTCTAGGTAAAACATTCATTTTAATTACTGAGATTCTACCTAACAATGACAGTTGCAGTTTACCCCATCTTAATAGATCCTTTTTAATATCATTCCAGACTTTAACATAATTATTTTGATATAACATACAATTCATA